CTTCTTGAAAGAGATGGCCGAAGAAATCTTTATGGAATCTTAGCAGGTATTAAATGCTCTCAAAAACGCACATTATTTATTTGTTTGCCTACCTTCGGTATCGGGGAAGGGAAAAAAAGACTTTTTTTGTGTTATTTTAACACTTCTTGGTCTTTTAAGTAAAGTGCACTTACCAGGTGATCGTATTAGTTTGCATCTCAATTTGTATTTCTAATCTAATAGCTGTTTTTTTCCCCTCTTAAAGTGAAAATAGAGCAGAAATACCAGATGATCGTAGTAGTTGGCATCTCAATTTATATTTCTAATGTAATAGCTGCTTTTCATCTCTTAAAGTGAATAGAGCAGAAATACCAGATGATCGTATTAGTTTGCATCTCAATTTATATTTCAATTGTGATAGCCGTTTTTCTTCTCTTAAAGTTAAAATGGAGCAGAAATACCAGATGATCGTATTAGTTTGCATCTCAATTTATATTTCTAATGTAATAGCTGCTTTTCATCTCTTAAAGTGAATAGAGCAGAAATACCAGATGATCGTATTAGTTTGCATCTCAATTTATATTTCAATTGAGATAGCCGTTTTTTTCTTCTCTTAAGTTAAGATAACGAAGAAATACCTAAGTTGGTTTCTAATAATTACACATTTTTTCTTTTGAAGTTAGTAGGATAGAAATAACAATATATAAATAGCGGGACAACATATAAGATATTAATAACAATTAACAAAGTATAAACAAGATTAAAGCATGATATTTAAAAACAATACTCGATTTATGTAATGTTATATAATCGAGAGAAATATATTCGATTACTTATATTCAATTTCCCTTTTTTAGGAAAATTAATAATAGCAATGATTTAATATTAATAAAAATTTATAATTTAAAGGGGCATATTAATAAATTAATTATTTGAAAATTCAAAATGTCAAATAAGTACTAAGTAGATTAAGGGAAACTTATTTTCTCTGCAACATATTTTATGCAGATTTTTTTTCAAAATAAATAATTTTCTGGCGACAAAATTGCAAATTTTAGTTATATAATAAATAAAAAATTAAATGTTTTACTAAAAAATGTTATCCTTTAAATCACGTTGCATAAAAACTCAAATGAAGTGATTAAAATTAGCAAATTTTCATAATAATATTATGAATCTAATAGCGGATACAGTTTTAGATGTCTAATATTGAACCGATTATTGGATGTCTAATACTATTATAAAAGATGTTTTCATATATAATATCAGTGATCTAATAGAACAGAAATTATTATTATTACAATAAAGTATTTTATTTTTATTTTATAACCGTCGTTGAACAGCCGACCCAATTTCATGGGTTTACAACTACTTACGTTCAACTCCGTAGCCTTGTAATTTTTGAACCAATCCAGAAAACAAGGAAACTCCTGGATCAGTACCCCCAGAGGTATTGATTTGTTGTGGGAACATGGAGGACTTTGAGACTCGACAGATTTAACGTGCATCAGTCACCATTTACTACACGGGGAGTCTTCGGCCGGCGAGGATCGAACCCACGACCTCTTGGATATGGGCCCAGCGCCCTACCGACCAGGCTATCCCGGCCTCTACAATAAAGTATTGTAATTACTACAAGTCCAGCAGTCGACTGCTTGTTAAAACACTGTGCAAAGCAGAGCATTGATGTGAAGCATCACTGTTAGTGATGCTTGACATCAGTTAGTGTCAGGGAGCGGGTGGATTACCACCTTGATCAGCCTGCGAAGGGGTCGAGGATGTGTGGTATTGGCCCTGATAAACTGTTCTACCCCAAACTGCTCGCCTTCGTGGGCATGTGGTAGGGTCACCAAAGCGTTGCTTTACACTAGCTTCTGCTATTTTTCATAAGAGTAAAAAAGTAAAAGTGATAAGTGATGTCCACCGCAAAAGAAAACCTAATTGTTTTTTGTATTGTGCCATATACTCTTGAAATCAAAATAAGCTACTAAAAAGGGAGCATTTTTTTCTCAGTAAATTTTATATAAAATTTCTTAATATTTCAAATTTAATTTATTTAAATTTAAAGAAAAAAAAGATGCTGCTAAAAAATAGTATTGAATAAATTTTCTTTTCTCTTCATTTTGAAACTGTTGCTTCTAAATGGAATATTATTTACAAATAATCTTTTGCAAGCTGAACATTTTAATTGTTTGCAAATTATTTGAAACTAGAAGAGTGATTTTGCAAAATTTGTAATTAATTATCTTAAAAGCAAAATTTGAAAAATTTAGCGAAGGAATTGGAAAGAGTTACTTTGTTTATCATTATGAAAAGCTAAAAAATATTCTTTCCAAATATAGAAACAGATCAATTTTGCATTCAGTGTATGTGTACAAATTTTGACCTTAGTAGCTTCAAATTTCTATTGTTTCTATAAAATAAAACATAAATAACATTAAATGCCATGAAGAGTAGATTAGAAATTTGCTTGAAAAAACTAACTTCAAATAGAACGAGTAGATTGAAACTAAAATACTCTTTGAAAGAAAGCAAATCAAAAATGAAAGCTTCGCTTTCGGGGTCAGTCGCCTCAGGGCCTCTTGACCCAAGGTCAGTTCTTCCCATACCACCCACGCATAACCTACGACCTAGTTGGATTTTTTCTTCTGTTCCTCTGAAAGAGCATTCCTTTGTCTACTACCTTCCCATCGGTTCGAAACAAGCCCCCTCCCATTTCCAGGCCCCCATCCCCCATATTCACCTTACCTTACACCCTCCCATTGCTATCCGTTTTTTAATATCAGTGATGGAACAGTAAAGAGAAGACCGGCAACACAGTGAAAGTCACGAATGATTTTTGAAAGTTCCAAAAGATTTCTATGGACGGTAATTGCTCAATTATAGCTCTAGATTAAGGCTAGTGTTCTTGACTCCCCCCACCCTCCTTTGGCAGTATTTTGCAGCAAATGTGAGGAACAATCCCTTTCTATTGTTGTCCTATCTTGTAGCTATTTAATGTATTTTTTTTTATTCAATTCCATCTTTTCTAATTCTTTCTTTTTTTATGTACCCATAAATATCGAAATGAGATCACCCGTTTAGGAAAGCGACGTTTATATTTAAGAATGTACACGATTCGACTTTTTGTCTGCATTTTTGTCCTGGAAAAGAATGAAACTATTGTTTTCGAGAAAATGAGAATTTTCTTTCGCGTTATTTATTTATTTATTTTAATTAATAAGATTATTCTATAATAAAAATTCTTGACATTTCCTCCGGAAAGGTGCAAATTACAATTTCTAATCAAGTGAAATAACAAGATAAATAAAAATGAAATTATTTGCATAGAAAGTTGTCTACTTCTGAAATTTGGAGGGAAAAAAAACACAGTAGGACTTCTATTTAACGAAATCGCTAAATCTCCATAATAAGTTCGTTAAATGGGAAATTCAGAAAATTACCTTTTGAAATACTAAACAGGTTTTAAATTCATAAAACTAGACATAATTTAAATAACATTTGATACACCTTTATCTTGTAAACTGGTATCTACTATTTATTTTATAAATCTTGAGAAATAAAAGAAATCTGCATTTAAAGCAAGAATCGAGCAAAACATTATCCAGTGTTACACTATTATGCTACATATATTTTCAACTAAAAAAAAGCTAAATTACTGTATGAAATTACAGCTGAATTTATTATAAAAGTACTTTTAAACATGCATTACCACAGTTTAATTGCTACTGATAAATTCCTTCAATTTTGTCTGAGTTTTTCGTTTGAAATGCAAACAAAAGGGGAAAGGAATTTTATTGCTTTATCTAAAAGTTAAGTGGCCTCGAAAATCAATTCAAGGTCATATCCCCCATAAAAGGCATTAACAAGTCTGAGATGTTCTTAGATATTTTTGGCAATAGAGAAAGTGGATTTCGAAAAAAATGTCGTTAAACAGAAAATTCATTTCGTTAATTGGAAGTTATTCTACGAAGAAATTTCCAAATAGTTCTTGGTTCCTCGAAAAAATATCGCAAAACAGAGAATTCCGCCAAATGGAAGTTCGTTAATGGAATTCGTTATATAATATTTTTTCTTTTTTACCCAAAGCAAGAACAACGCTCAAATTCAATTTCTGTATGAGAAACTTACTGTCAAATCTCTTCTTTTAATCTGCTACCTCCGCCTGCTTTGCATGAATACGCTAATAAGCTAATCATTTGCATACCACAACATGCTTTATCCGTCCAAATTTCACATTCATGGTGTGTCGCCTTCCTGGTGTAGCAATTTTAATGGTCAGTATATATATATATAAAAGATGTTTTCATATATAATATCAGTGATCTAATAGAACAGAAATTATTATTATTACAATAAAGTATTTTANGAATTAGAGAGAGTAATAAAAACCTTTTTAAAAATGTTTTGGAAATGTGCTCTAGATACCGTAGAAAAGCTTAAAATGAACAATTTGTGTTATAGATATTTAGATTCTTGGCTAAGCTGATACAGGCAGTTTCAACAACTAATGGCTAAAACGTAATATCTTAAAAAAATAATAAATTTTATTAATACTTTGGCAAAATATATAAGGCCTTTATATTCCAATTGATTTTGTAAGAACTGCATCAAAAATAATTAAAGACAGTTTAATTAAAACATAAAGTAGGAAACATAGGTTTTTGCAGTTCAATGAAATCGCAATACACTGTAAAATATTACCGGCACTCAGGATGCTGCTACCTTTCACCATTTTTACCGGAGCATATTACTGATCAAAAAAATCTTTTTTACCATAATTTTACGCATTCAAAGATCCAGTACTTTATACCGTGATTTGATCCAGAATTTCTTCAATGTTTCCGCACGAGCTCTATATAATATTAATTTCAATGTAACATGCTACTTTCAAAACAGATTCGATTCTGTTACAGATCCGAAATATCAGTGACGAAAAATAAAGCCATTTTTTTAGCTGAATGATTGAACACAAAAAACAAAAGCACAGAGTATGATTTAATGTGTATTTTATTTTTCAGGGCAGTGCAGACAAAAAAATGCAACGGCGAATGCAATTGCGAGCAAAAATACAAATGGCACAGGCTCCTAGCGTATGATCCTGATGATGATTGCAAAGGAATATTCATGGACTGGTTCCTCTTCCCCTCCTGCTGCGTCTGTCGGTGTCTCAGCCCTCTGAAGCAATAAATCAATTCTTGGACAGATTACTTATTAAACAAATTTTAGCATGCAGCACCATACTCTGATTCAAATGAATTTTATTGGAGAAATTTTTGAATGACGAAAGAAATCGCATCTGGACCCTGTTAAGTTGCAATTTACTTAGTTTTAAATTTCTCAATCTATCCAAAAACACTTTTGTGTTCTTGAAAAAAAAGAGTTTGATACCTGTTAATCTAAATTTTTAAAATCAAGAAATTATTTTATAAATACGCTGTTATAATAAATTATTTTGGTCAAAATATAGTATGTATGTATGTATATATATTGCCAAATAGCGGATCAGTACTGAATTAGTAGAAATTAAGAGAAATCAAGCATAAATGAAAGTAGCGTACTGTATAGATAAAATAATGCAAATTTCAAAAAACATAATAAGTTTTGTATTAAAATAATTTTTTAGAAACTGTTGATGCATACGAATTCAAGATCAATTTATCAAGAAATTCAAGTATGTGATCAAAAAAGAAAATGTTTTATCCCTTTGAACAAGATTAGATAATTATTACGTAATGACATACAAAATATTAACACAAATGCTAGCCAATTCATTGGTGTTTTACGTTCTCAGATGATTATTCATATAAAACTACAAACAAATGAATTAATAATCCAAATAAGCTAAAAAAAAATCATTTTTGAAATATCAAAGAATAAAATACAGATGTAACTAATAGCTGATATATTTAGATGGTTTTAATCCAAAGAAAAAGTAATGTTTAATGTTTTGAACTGCTTCAGTTATCAGAATTAAATTTTTCAAAAACAAAAACATGAAACGAAGCTCTTATAAAGTTAAATATAAAGATAATTTCAAGTTAACTATTTCACATCAAAAAACTAATTACAGCAGGTTTTATCGCTGTTGATTTAGAAAAAATCATAATATAATCAATTGTGTGTTATCTACTTATCACAGTTATTTTTGCCACGTTAAATTATGTCTCAGAGTTTATGCTGCATGGCTTATAATGGTGCCATAAATTGTGCCATCTAAAGAAACTGTACAATTTTTTTTTAAAGTTTCAAGATCAATATTTGATTTTGAAAAAGAACTGTAAAACCAATCCTACCGATGAACATTATTTTCGATATTTATTCTGATATGGATAATATTTGTCCATGTTTAGAATAATTTAAAGAAAGTGTGATTGTTTTTATCGCAGAACTTTTTGATTCACTATGTGAAATAGTTTCTGTGAATGCTATTTTTTTAACTTATTAAATGTGTGTTTGTCCTACATCATTGCACGTTGACAAAACATTTTTTCTTCAATTGAAGGGCTTGGATTAATATAAATGATAAGCCACACTGTTTCTAAAGGCAATATTTTTAAATCAAACGGATCCTTAATATTCTTTCCTTATGTGTACATTACAAGTTACCGAAATATCCTCCAGATAACACAGAAAAATCTTGCAGCCTGATAAGAGTTTTTCTACCAAAATACTTTTTAAAAATGTTCTCCTGAACTATTTGAAAATTCGGCTTATCATTTTCTTACCCCAAGCTTTTCGACTACATTTATATGCATGGAAGAGTCAAAATACGCAAAGCGCATTTTGAATATGGTACCTAACAAAATATGAAAGCTCTTACTATCTGTTTAAAGCTGCACATAGTAGTTATTCTAAGCTACTAATGCAAAGTCTGAAATTATCAATCAAGTATTTATGAAATTAAGCTTAGATCATGGTTACTAGTAATTTTAGATCATTTGTAGTCATAAATACCTTTATTATCGTATCATGAATTATAATTATTTGTAATTATAATTATTTATAATTATAAATTAGTACTACTTGTAATTTCAATTAAAAGTAACCAATTACATTTTACTTTCGTGTACCTAGGTATTGTTGTTATAAAAATAACTTTCATGAATAAAAAGGTTTCCAGAATGTCTCTCTAGTTTTGACTCTTCAATATGTATAGATGGCAAAAATATTTCTATCAATTTTTCACTTACTGTAATATTTTAAAAAAGAAAAATGAAACCATTTTGTATAAGTGCATTCATTAATTTAATATTTTCATGCATTTTCATTGGTTTGACGCGCACAACCTTTTTCTTAACATGATTTATTGGCATTAAGTTGTATTCTAAACGTCAATTTTTTTCATCTTTTCAAGATGCACTTTGAATTTTAAAATCTCAAACATTTTCTGTGTTACATATTATTTCATAGGATTTTATAAAGTTTGTTACAGCAAGCATTACAAACCAATTGAGAATGAGCTTAAATTGCCATTTTTAGGAAACAACTGTGGAGTCAAAACTACTTTTAAAAATTATGAAGTTTCTGTATTTTTATGTAAATTTCATTTACTGTGCAATGATCATTTTTATTAAGCTTTAGTTTTATGTAAGTATTAGTTCCTATTTTGTGTTTTTACAGTCTAATTCTCGTAATTATAAAAGATACCAGTGAATTTTTATGTAATGACTGTATTGAAAATCAAAATTCCTTAGCTGTATATATTGAGCTAGTTGTGTTTTGTTCTTAATAAAAATGTTTGAAATCTCATTGAGATTAATTATTAGCCATTTTTATAAATAGTTTTTAAAGTTTTTTTTGAAAAAATTGCAGTTTTCTAAAATCTGCAAATAACACACCTAATTCGGTGTTCTCTTTTTCTTTACATTTGGATCTGAAATATTAGATGGTACACATTGGTTACAGCGACCATATTCGCCAACTTATATGAACAACTCCATATTCTGATTTTCATAGATACCGATAATGCACATAAGTGTATCAAATACGACAGTATCGCAATCATTGTTGATAGCTATGATCATTGAAAACGGTAATATCGCAATAATTATCGATAACATGACATATCAAAAAGATAGCATCGTGAATATTATACATACTTATTTATTCCTTGGCTCTACAGTACATGAAGGACCTTGGCATCATTTATCACACAGCTCCACTTTTTCCTATCCCATGCCTTGTGCCATGGAGGATCAGGCGATAGAGCACTCGCCTCCCAATGAGATGACGTCGGTTCAAATCCCAGCGATGGCTGGTTGATATGAATTCTGCATCCGGCTCGCATCGACCACAGTACTGGCGTAAAATATCCTCAGTAGTAGACGAATCACAGGTTAGAATCGAATTGCCGTCAGGCTAACCTTGAGAGATGTTCGGAATTTTTTTCTTCGTGTAAAGCAAATGCTGGTTAGTTCCATCAAAAAATCCCCCACGAAGGCAAATTTCTTCCAATACTTGATCCAGGAGTTCTCATTGTTGAGAAATGTAGATGTAAATTTAATTAATTCGAAATCTCCCCTCCAGAGGGCTGATTATCAGTCTACATTGAACCACCAAGCAGTAAGCATTGGCTTGTAATAATTGTCTTCTAATGTATAACTTTATAATCTGAAGGGTTCCACCGTAATAATATGGAACTCGTTGTTTTGATTAAATAAATATTTGTTTTCTTGTTTTCGATATTGATTACCCTCCCTTTCTTGTATATGGTGCAATTGGCCACGAAGTATTTTACGAACTAGAGGAATTTAAAGCAAGAGAAAATAAAGTGTTATTTTTAATTTCAAGGGCAAAATCGAACAGTGTAAAGATACATGATCACTTCAAGGAGACAGCTAGTCTAATTCTTTTTATGTGCAAAGTAAGCGTTTTTATTCTTTGTTGAAGAATTCGTTTTCGTTTTGAGGTTTTGATTATTTAAAATTTATTGTTTTTTTTATATTGCTAAGGGTGTGACTTTGTGTTAGACGTTCATTATGGCTGAAACAGATTATTTAGAGAGAATTAAAAGAAAAAGGTCTAGTGAAAGAAGTAGTTTTACTAAATTAATAAATAAAATTGATTAATTATTAACTGAGCAAAATGTTGAAACAAATGTATTAGATGAGAATACTGTGTTAATTGAAAGGAATCAAAATTTAATAGCTTTGAATAAGGAAATTGAAAATATAATTGATATTAATTTGCTGGATGAAGATTTAGCTTCTAGTGAAGAATATCAGGATAAATATTTGACGTATGTAGCTAAATTAAAGCAATTGATAAAATGTAAAGGAATAAAGGTTTCAGTTAATGAACAAACAGTTGAAACTGTAAAAAATGATTCGGTTATAATTGAGCAGAAAAGAGTAGTTAATAACAATTCCAGTATTAAATTACCGAAAATTCAAATTGTTCCATTTTCGGGAGATCCGAAATATTTTAATTCTTTTTGGGATTCTTTTGAAAATACTATCTATAAAAATGAATCACTTTCTAAAATTGAAAAATTCATTTATTTGAAATCTTATCTTACTGGCCAGGCAGGTAATGTTGTATCAGGTTTTGATTGAACGAATGATAAATATGATAATTGTATTAAATTATTACATGAGAAATATGGTCGTAGAGATTTAATTTTGAATTCATTTGTTAATAAAATACTTAGTTTTCCGAGTGTTAAACATACCTCTAATATTACAGCATTACGCAAATTGTACGATGACTTAGACATCGCAGTTAGAAATTTAGATTCAAGGAAAGTTCAATCTGCATCTTATGGTATACTTTTGATACCAATAATTTTACTATTATTTCCTTAAGATTTTGTTTTAGATTTTCAACGAAAACGGAAATCTAAAGATGAAACCGATGTTAATGAATTATTGCTGTTTTTAAGGAATGAGATAGAATATCGTGAATCGGTTGCGTTTTTATATGATAAAAAGACTAACTATAACCATCGAGGTAGCTGTAATTTGCGTAACGAGCAAAATAGGTATATAAACAGAAATTTTAATAAAGGCACACCCTCAGCTACTGCGCTTAATGCACAGATGACGCAGTCAATATGCATTTTTTGCTCTGAACCCCATGACGCTTTTAAATGTAATATGTCTCCCCAAAACAAGGTAAAATTATTGAAAAATTCTAATCGTTGTTTCAAGTGTTTTAAATTGTTTCATGTAAGCAAGAATTGTCGTGTAAATAAATTACCTTGTTATAAATGTAAGGGATTAAGTCATCATAGGTCTATTTGTTTAGGAGGTAATAAGGGAATAAATAATGCTAAAGTTAGTAAAATTCAAAATGCTGAACTAGAGTTAAATGAATCTTCTGATTTGGTTGCAGTTTCTAATGAAACTCCACCATTGAGTATTTCCAATGAAGAAGTTATTAGTTCTATTTCCCAATGTAATAATAAAGAAATTGAATGTTCTAAAAGGGTTTATTTGCAGACTTGTACTGCTGAAGTTAAATCAGATTCTTCGTCTCAATTGACAAAAATTCTTTTAGATAATGGCAGCCAGCGTTCGTTTTTGCCTGAACAATTTACAAATAATTTAAATTTAAAACCGGTTGCTTACGAAGTTTTGTCAGTTTATTAATTTGGAATGCAAAGAGCAACAGAAAAGGCTTATCCTGTAGTCGAATTCGAAATTTTCAAAAAGAACACGAATTTTAGAACTAAAATTAGAACTCTGGTCATACCATGCATTACTGGAGTTAAAGTTGAACCTCCAGACCCCAAAGTAATTGAATTTATGAATAAAAATAAAATTGATATGGCTGATTCTTATTTGGAAGATAATGATAATTTGCTGAGTATCGAACTTTTAATTGGTTCAGATTTATTCTGGGAATTTCTTTTATATGAAAAGATAACTATAAGTAATCGCCTGTGTGCAATAAAAACTGTTCTTGGTTGGGTGATTAGTGGAAGTAGTTATAAACGGGAGCATACATTGTCGCAAAACATAGCGGTTATGAAAAGTGTAATTGAATCAGGTGATATGTTTGATTTAAGAAAATTCTGGTCACTCGATTCCTTAGGTATCATCAAGGAGTGTGAAACTTTATCTCTAAAAGATAAAGAAACAATTGATAAATTTGAAAGCAATTTAAAATATGAAAACAATCATTATAAAACCGGATTACTTTGGAATTCAAATCCTGATGATCTTGATAGTAATTTCTCTATTGCCAAAAAACGGTTTGATAATTTAATGATAAAATTAAGTAAAAATAAAAATATTTTTGACATGTATGCAAATATTATTGAGGATCAGATAAGAGATGGAATCGTTGAGGAATGTAAAGATAAATCCGTTAATTCTGGTTATTTCATGCCGGACCCGATAAAGAAACATCTCGTGTTCGTATCGTTTTCGATGCTAGTTCGAAGGATATTGGTTTAAAATCCTTTAATGATATGTTATTGTCAGGTCCAAATTTGAACCCGAATATTTTGGATGTCATACTAAATTTTCGAAAGTATGAAATTGCATTTTCTGGTGATATTGAGAAGGCGTTTTTAATGATAGAGATAGATGAAAATGAGCGCAAATATTTAAAATTTCTTTGGGTTGATTATGATAATTGTGAAGGTTTTAAAATTATGAATATGAAAAGGTTACCGTTCAGAGTTACCACTTCCCCTTTCATTTTGAAGGCAATAATGAAGTACCACATTAAAAAAATATGCTAATGACAAACCCGATTGCGTTAAAATGTTAAATTCTTCGTTATACGTGGACGATCTGTACTGGGTAACTGATACAGTTAATGATGCATATCGACTGTCATCTGATGCTGTAAATATTTTGCAATCCGCGAGTATGAATTTACGGAAATTTAATTCTAATTCAAGCGAACTAAAGAAATTATGGATTCAAAATGGTATTGCCATTAATGATTCAATTGCACATGCAAAGGTGTTAGGTCTTCGATGGGATACAGAAAGTGATGTACTGTTGATTGAATATAAAAATTTAGAGCAGTCATCATCTAAGTCAGTTCAGTGCACCAAGCGTACTGTTTTAAAATTTGCTGCTCAAATTTATGATCCTATCGGTTTAATTTCTCCCTTAGTTATTAAGATGAAAATTTTGCTGCAAAACATTTGGAAGGCTGGACTCGATTGGGATGACCCTCTGCCTTCAGATATTGAAACAGACTTTAACAATCGGATTTCTGAAGTTCCTTATTTAAAGAACTTTTTTATGGAGCGGAAATATTTTGATAACTGTGATAATAAGAAAGAAATTGCCGTTCATATTTTTACTGATGCTAGCACAAAGGCCTATGGTGCTGTAGCGCAATTCAGATATGCAAATGTTTCGAACGAAGTTAAGATCTCATTCATTATGTCCAAAAGTAGGGTAGCACCAATCAAGACTTTAACATTGCCCCGCTTAGAGCTTATGTCAGCGGTTATTGGTGCTAGAATCTATGATTATTTACACAAATTGTTTAGTGACATTTGCCAACAATTTTATTTGTGGACAGATTCAAAAATTACATATTTTTGGATAAAGAATAACAACTCTTTGAAACCCTTCGTGCAAAACAGAGTGTCTAAAATTCAAACTCTGACAGATCCTAAACTTTGGCAGCACTGTCCAGGAAGTTCAAATCCTGCTGATAAATTAACTCGAAGAGAATCACTAAAAAGCCTTGTTGATGATAACTTATGGAAATTCGGGTCATCTTGGCTCATAGAGGATGAAAGTAAGTGGCATCAAGAAAATACTGAATTTAATCATCAG